GGTCAATCCCAGTGTCTCCAGGACATCCTTGACTTCACAGTCTTTTCCATCTGATTAAATGTCACTGAGATTCTATCTGGGGAAAGTCCCTAGTATCTCTGGCTTGACTCACCTTGGGCTTCTGTGTACTGACTTCAGCCAGCCAGCCCAATACTAAAGGGTCTTGCCCCTTCCTGATGCTCACATCCCAGTATTCTTGTTGAGCTGAGCCCTTCACTGGCCACGTATTGCCCACATCTCCTGTTCAGTGTTTGTGGTTCCATGTTCTTCTGCACTAGCCCCCCACAACAACAACAATTGCCAAAGATTTCTTTTTTTAGACTACTATGCAGAGTGGCAAAGGTGTAGCAGAGGAATATCTTGACTACCTGCTGGTGGTTGTGTAAATGGGTTTAATCATTCTCGAGGACAATTTGGCATTCAGCAGCCAAAGCCTTAGAAATCTGTCTTAGAAATTTGTCCCAAGGAAACAATCAAGAGAGAAGCAAAGATTTAGCTATACAGGTTGTTTGTGTTTATGTGCATGTTTGTTTCTAAACTAGAATTGTATTTATAATAGAAAAAACTTGAGAACAAGAAGAGACTGGCGGAGCCCACAGTGGCTTATGCACAAGACAGCAAATTAAGCAGTCCTTTAAGAGAAGAGTTTTAGCAGAGAATTTATTGGCATAAAATCAATGTCAAATTAACTCCTGTAAACAAAATATACATATGTACAGTGTGGGTCCCTTTCCATCAAGTCAATATATATTAAGTATGTCATGATAACTTCAATGAGAAACCTGGAGCGAGCATTCAGCTATACTTGAAGCAGCTCCCACTGGGCAGTTCACATCAACTGTTTATCTGTGCTCTCTGTTTTTTATATACAATGTTTTTTGTATACTGCAAGGAAACCATTAGAAAAATTATCAAAAATGGTTGGTGATCTTTTACAAGCTTTGTTAGCATTCATAGTCCCAGCTCTTCTAAATAGGGTCCTGTTAACCCCAATTGGGACTTCTCTGTCTCTTGGGGGATAAGTATTCCATGAGGAGGGGGGCCAAAGAAAATGTCAACTTCCTTCTGTCTGCAGAACTTTGGATACAAGAGCTGGCTTCTGGAGTATGATACTGCAACTTACTGAAAGGGAAAAAAATCAACACATCCCACCATCTATTTATTTAATATTAAAAATAATATTTCACTGAGTTTGGCCGGCGTCAGCTTGAGCGGTTACTCATACAGGAATTCAAACAAAAGCAGCCTTGGCCCCAGGCCAGTGGGCTGGTGCTGGGTGGTCCAAATCTGTCCTTAGCTCCAAGTAAGTAGCTCCTAGGCTGTTTGCAGACCTGCTTTGGGTTGGGAAGATGATGTATTCATTTATTTATTAGAAATGTTTTAACAGGAAATGCTAATCGTTTGCATTTAGCGAGAACTGCCCCAAGACAGCTGGAGGAACCCAGCAAACAGTGCTGGACAGAAAGAAGTTGCTGTTCTTGGCCCTGGAGTCAAGTCAGTGTCTGTTGTAAGAATGTTCTAGAAATCAGCACACCAACTTAGCGCAAAAGTTCCTGGTTGTCTTGCTTCTGAACAAAAGGAAAGAACGGGTCTATTCTCTAATGACCCTGCCTCCCTTCCCAGTTTCCACGTGTTTCTCAGGGACCTAAGGGTGGTTTGTGAGTATAGATGCTGGCTCTGTTAAGTGTGGCTGAGTCTGGTTCACACCTCCAGGTAGGATAATGGCAGCAGAGGTGTGAGAAACACATGTGTAACTCAGAGCAACTTTTACTGTGACTGTGGGCTGGAGTTGTTTGTGGGTTCAGAGCTTTTGATGAGGTTAAGACTGAAAGGCACCAAGGTGTGGTGGTGCACACTTTTAATCCCAGCACTTGGGAGGCAGAGGCAGGTGGATCTCTGTGGGTTCAAGGCTACAAAGAGTTCCAAGGCAGCCAGGGGCTGTTATACAGAGAAACCCTGTCTCAAAGAAGAAGGAAAAAAAAGTAAAAGGCAAGTATCTCCAGGGATTTCAGGCATGTCACCCAGGAGTGGGGTGCACTCCAGTGTTGGGTCATATTTGGGGTGATTTTGTTGCACCAGAGAGAAGATAAAGGAGAGAGAATAAATCGGACAAAGATGTGTGCATACAGGAGGGGGCGTGTGAGCAGATTTGTGTTTTTAAGAATCCTCTTCCAACTACTTTGGAAGAATGTAAGATTTTCCTTATGGGGGAAGGGCGTGGGGCACGGGGTCCAATGTCTGACCCGGTCTGGCACGACAAAATTGCTGTTCCTGTGTTTCCAGATAACAATGGAGGTGAAGCGGGCCCCTGGAACCCAGTCAAGATTCCCAGAGATAAACCCTGGGGCAGCAAGCACACTGTCAATGAAAAGTGGCTGACCTTTCGCCTCTTGAGTCACAGAATTCCCACAAATGCCGTGTCCCCACCAACTCTGGCAGGACTCACCGCCACAGTCCAGACTTCGAAGCCACTTTGTAAACAAAGAAGAAGGAGCGCTGTACTGTAAGTCAGAGCACTGTCACCTTGAGTACCTCAAGATACAGGGTGCACCCTCTTCTAGAGGCCACCCTTCTTCCCAGGCTCAAAAAGTAACGAGAGAACTTTTTAAACAGTGTGCCTCTGCAGATGCGGTCTACAGCCATCTAGGTGCCTTTAAATGGATTCGAATACAGCGCTCCACAACCTGAACCAAGAGCCTTTGGAAGGGTTGTGCTGCCTTGCACATGAAGCAGAGAATCTCAAGGCCAGGGGATCAGCGGAGTGCTGTGAAAAAAGAGAAAGAGATGCTATGGTTTCTGTGTGGTTTGCCCATCCCGAAACTCACGTTGGAGTTTAATCTCGTTGTGGGGCACTTGGAGGAGGGGTGCACTCAATCAGACGAAGTCTTTGGGAGGTGCCTGAGGTAAGATAAGGTCATCAGGGTGGAGCCCCGTGATTTAATACTGTGGCTGTATAAGAACAGGAAGAGACCAGAATACACACACGCACATGCTCTCTGTCCCTCGCCGTGTGATACTCTGCGTCACCAGGACTCCATCAGCAAGGCTATCACCAGAGGCAGCCATGTGACCTTAGACTAGAGCCATGAGCCAAAAGGAGCTTCTCTTCAATGTTATGTAGCCTCCACAGCCTGTCGATGTTGTGTTACAAGCAACAGGAAACAAAACCCCGGTGGGTTTGTACTTATGACAACAGAGAAGGGTTAAATAAAAGCTGAGAATTCACTGAGTGTCTCCTAAATCTCTTTGAGCCTTGGGTCCTTCAACAAAATGAGAATGCTTGGGAGTTTTCTGGTCTTTGAATCCACAAACTTGAATTTCCCCCCATGACAATTGTCTCATTATACCATCACACAGCTCGAAAACAAGCACACCATTCAACACCATGTTTACCTCTAGAACAATGGTTCTCAGCCTTTGCTGCCCAGGTAGTCACTTGGAGAGTCCTGAGCAATGGTAGTGCACAAAGCCACCCCCAGAGGTGATGGAGTGGGCCTCATTGAGGCCCAGACACCAGGGTTTCTCTTTCTGGCCTTTGGAATCATGTCCTTTTTTTTTTTTTTTTTTTTTAGTTTGAACTAGCCCATTCTCTCCCTGGCCGTTTTCCACTTCAGAATCCCTATATATCTCATTATTTGGAATTATTCCCTTGCTTCAAAGCCTAACTCAGCTTCCACCTTCTCAAGGCCTTCCCCCCGATGATGCCCCACGCATTCGGCAGCCCTTCCTCCCTCGCACACAAACCTCTCCAAACAGCAGCAAGAATGAGGACGACGGTGACCCCGATAGCCAGGCTGTCCACCAGGCTCACTGTGGAGGGTGTCGCACACACCGTGGTGTCTCATCCCTGTGAGGGCAAGAGCATGCAGCAGCTCCCCTGAGGTTACACAGCTGTAACTGCCGAATCCAGGCTCTAGAGAGAACGCTTACGCTCTAATAACTCAGCTCCAGTCTGAAACACCCCCGCCATTCCTCTGCTCCAACCACAAGTTTCTGTCCCTTCACTGTATTTTATGCTCCCTCACTTCACTAGCACTCTCAATCGCCAGCACTTGCTGCCGTCAGATTTCCATAGTCACGAGCGTGGTCAGGATTTTGCCTTAGAGAGGTCCACTTTACGTTGAAGTCTTCAGGGACACTTCATCGAAGAGCAGGGAGCACATGTTTATAAATCTTACCTCTGAGTTTCGTCTTCCTCATAATGTCATTGACGTGTCAGCCCTACAGCAAACCACAGAACGGGCTGTGCTTGAGTGAGGCCAAGATTTAATGCCGCTGCTCCAGCTCAAGTGGCTGTGCCTAGAACTACAGTTGTGTTTAGCAGTCATCGGGAAGTACACACACGGTGATTTAGTGCAGCTTTGGTTCAGACTCAGCGTAGCTGTGTTCTGCCATTTTAACATGAGCAAACGGCATTGCTACCGAAGCAAAGGACAGGTCACTTGGTCAAGAACAATTTTCCAGTGAGCAAGCTCATTGGTTTACTCGATGAATCCATAGATGATTCTTATTCCACAAAACATGCAAATAACAGAAGTGTGTCTTAATGTTTAATTGCAGGCCTTTACCTCCGGCCAGTATGAAACAGCCTGTGGGGGCTGGCTTCCCCTCCCGCCTAAAGCAATTGAAAAGTTAACAAAATACATTAAACAACAATTTGAAAAACACCGGCTACCGGAAGGACCATGATCTCCGAGAAGGACGGCATGCATGACAATTCCCCGTTCACCGCCTTGAGAGAGTTCCCAAGCCACAGTGTCACAAAAGAGACCCAGGCAGAGCTGGGCAAGCTCTCGGAGTTGAGGACCAGAGCTGAGGGTGTGGGGAGACCAAGGTCGCTAATGTTCTTAGGACAGAAAGGAGGAAGGAGAGCCCTAACAGACAGTGGACATTCTACACGTTTGCAGAGGGATTCTACTTGACTACGGAGCCGCACACTGACCAGCCATACATGGAAGGAAACTGACGATCTAGAACCTCAGGACTGGTTAGAAGTGAGCATGCTCACTTCCGAAGCACATATTCTAAAACTGGAATGGTACAGAGATTAGCATGGCCCCTGCGCAAGGATGACATGCACATTCGTAAGAAGGAGGAAGAGAGTGACACCCACACAGGATAGGAATGTGTCTGTTCCCACCAGCCAAACCTGGAAATCTCAAGGTTCATGAAGGTAGCACATATCTACAAATGATAGAGTTTTGTTGTTGTTGTTGGTGGTGGTGGTGGTGGTGGTGGTGTGGTGGTGGTGGAGATGGTGGTTTTCATGTATTTAGTTTGTTTTTTGTTTTTTGTTTTTTTGAGGAAGCCCTAGGTGTCCTGTGACTCTCTCTGTAGTCCAGGCTGGCCTCAAACTCACAGAGATCCACCTGCCTCTACCTCCCGAGTACTGGGATCAAAGGTTTGCACCACTACCACCCAGGTATATCTAACAAATCTTAAAAATGATGTTTTCAAATGATTTAACCAAGCCATTTGGAACAAAAATCCAGAGTATTTTACAATACAGAAACCTAGCATCAAGTACTACTCAAGTGCTTGGAACTAAGTAACACAGAGGAAGCAACAAAACCCATACCTGGGAGACCTGTGATCCCCTGAAATGAACATGGGGCAGATGCAGGCGTGGGGTTTGTAAAGAGAGGCTTAAAACACCTGTTATATCTGTTACACAGTTCAGGTTGGAAGCAGACACAGAATATCCATATTTGAAAACAGCAGCTGTTCTATTTCTAGTTACGTGGTTGAAAGACTATGTTTGAGCTGGGTATGGTGGTGCACACCTGTAATCCCAGCACTCAGGAGGCAGAGGAGTGCCACAGGTGTGAGGCCAACCTGGTCTACACAGCAAGTTCTAGGCTAGCCAGGGCTCCATAGCCAGACCTGCCCTCCTCTCCCACCAAAAAAAAAAAAAAAAAAAAAAAAAAAAAGTTTATTTGAAACTGGACTTTCTAGATGAATTCTCAATGTTTCTTTTCCAAAAAATATTCTGGCAAAATTTTTGGTTCTTTTTTAATTCTAATGTTATGTGAATGGATTTCTTATTTATTATCACTTTACTTTGATATATTTTGCACTTTGTTATAGGGTTGTGCTTTTTGGGGTTTTTTTTGTTTTTGTTTTTGATTTTGTTTTTTTACTGTAGTGGGATGCATACCATAGAACTTAACCACTTCTAAATATGTCATTCAATAGTTCGACAATATCCCAATCGGGCCGCTCTCTTTGGAACTTTTCACCCTACAAAACTGAAACTCCACAGTCACGAAGCAGCTCTCGGTCTCGGGCATTCCTCAGTCTCCCAGGGCCACTTCTGTCTCTATGAATTGACCGCCTAGATATTCCACACTCACACAGCACAGGCTATCCTCAAGGTCCATCCATGTTGCAGCATATGCCGGAACTTACTGCCGCTCATAGCCTAGTGATGTTCCAGTGTGCCTGTGTATTGCCACACTCGGTCCATGCACCACTCAGTGGACGTGAGCTGAATTCACCTTTCGGCTCTTTTGACTAGTGCTGCTGTGAGCACCAGTGAGCAAACCTCTCCTCAGACCCTCCTCTTTTTTCTGAGACCAGGTCTCACTGAGCACCAATGAGCAAATCTCTCCTTCAGACCCTCCTCTTTTTTCTTTTCTTGTCTTTTCTTTTTTTTTTTTTTTTTTTTGAGACCAGGTCTCACTGTGCAGCTTTGACTTGGAACTCACAAAGCAGGCTGGCCTCAAACTCAAAGAGGACCTCCTTCCCCGCCTCCTCCCCCCTGTCTCTGCTGGGATTATAAGTATGTGTCACTGTAGAGTGCTGAGATCCTCTTTTTGGTTTAGTTTTGTTGTTGTTGTTGTATAATTCTAATGTTTTTGTTTTTAATTGTGTGTGTGTGTGTGTGTGCGCGCGCGCGCGCGCGCGCGCGTGTGCAGTGGGGAAGGTGTACACATGTGAATGTAGGTGCCCTTGGAGGCCAGAAGAGGTCGTCTAATGCCCTGAAACGTGAATTACAGGCAGTTGTGAACTGCCCGACGTGGGTGCTGGACAATGAACTTGGATCTCTGCAGAAGCAGCACAGGCTCTTGACCAATGAACCATCTTTCCGGTCCCCATCTTAGTTCTCCTAGATACGTATTCTGAAGTGAGCTTTCTACATCACATGGTCATTCTATTTTAAATTTTCTGAGGGGTCACTACATTGCCTCCCATGCTGGCTACCCCACTACATCCCCAACAGAACAGAGATGTTAGCGTCTCTCCACATTCCCACCAAGGCTCACTATTATTAGTTTGTCCTTACAGTATTCACTGTAGTGGGGATGCATATACAGTGATATTTCTTTTTCAGTCTGGTTGCTGAGAGTATTTATTCAAAAACAGGGAGAGATTGAGGAAACCCTGCAGAGTGTCTGTTGAAATTTTTGCACTTGCATCCAGGCCTGGCACACTTTGCTAAAAATACAGCTTGAGCTTAGAAGATGCATCCACTGAAAATCGAAGTATTAACGAAGATATTCTTGCTTTCCTCTCTGATAGCAGTTGATGTACATACCCAAACAAGGTGACAGTCCTTGTGACCCAAGAACTAGCTGCTGTTAACTTAACTGCTGTGGCTATGTATGTAACCACTGTTTCTCCTTGCGGTCCCAAGACTTCGTTAACATAGACTCATAAATATTGCCAAGTCTCCAGCAAAAGCAAAACCATCCAGTGTTCAACAGCAGTAGTTGAGGTAGCATGAATCAGAATGATTCCAACTGTGGACCTGAGTTCAAAGAAACGGCAACAAAATTTAACCCCTGCTAAATGGCCAGACTACTACTAAGTAGCAAGGCAGGATATTCATTCAACTTCTAACAGAAAACTCAAACTGGGTATGCAGTTGAAGCTGGCCATGAGCTTAGATCCACGTGCCTCCAACTCCCAAGTGCTGGAATTACAGATGTTCACCCTCATGCCCCGCTTGGCCACACAGCTGGAAACAATCCAAATGAACAAAGAGTGGAGCAATGTCATTAACATATTAGTGGAAAACTGTCAACCAAGAGTTATATACCTTGTGAAAACACCTTTCTAAAGCAAAAGCCAAGAACTCATCTGCTGCGATTAAAGAACGTCAAAAAAAGAATCTTTCAGAGGGAAAACGACCACAAATTAAAATACCAGTCTGCAGAGCAGAATAAAGAAAACCGGAAATGTTAACTATGTGGGAAAATGCATGTTTGTTTTGTTTTTCACATCTCCCTAAAAGCTAATTGACTAAACAGATGTAATAATGTGATATGGTGTTTATAACACGCACAAGTAAAATGCCCAAAGCAGCACACTGGCCTTCACCTGACACTACAATCCTCCAAGGACTATGTAAGAAACGTATAAATGCCCACTCCCATATCTCCTATCCAGCCTCTGTGCTGTTGTGATATGACATACTTGTACATTTATGTACAATATAAAACCTCATATTACATTGCTCTTATTTTGTCTAGCTTGCATAGAGGTTTAAAAACAAAACAAAACAGGCATTTACTCACATAAAATAAGTGCCAAGAGAATCAGGGTATGGGCAAGGTAACCAGAACTAACATTTACAGAACATGCGCATGGTAGCAGAATCCACATTCTTGTCCTGTGGATACAGGATAGTCACCCGGTTCCATCCATACAATCAGTCTAAATCAGTTTAAAGGAATTCATGTCATACGAAGTATGTTCTGTGACCACAATGGAATTAAAATGGAAAGAAACAAATGAAACTATCTCTGGAAAATCCCTAAGCATTTGCAAATTAAATAACTTCTAAATAACCTATGAATCAAATAAGAACCAGAGGGGAAATTAGAAAGTATTCTTAACTGGAAGAAAATGAAAACGCACATTAACGTTTATGGGGTAGTGCTGAAGCAATACTCAGGGTAAGCCGAGAGCACAAAGTATCCATCAGAAAAGAAGGAGAGGGTAGGCCAGGTGACTTGGCAGGGAAAGACATTGGCTTCCTGGGATCCCTGGGACCCACACAAAGTTTTTTCCAGAAGAGAACTGACTCCACAAACTTGTCCTCTGACACCCCGCCTCCCGGAGTGTCCTCTCCTCCATACACACATCATGCACACACAGTAATAGTAAATTAATTTAGTTTTTAAAAACTAAAGAAAAGGCAATGATGGAAGTTATCAGTGATCTCAGCCTCCACTTTAGAAAACTAGGGGGAAAAAGAGAAAACATTTTAAGTAAGTTGAAATCATGAGATAAAAATACAGTGGGAATAGATTTTTAAAAGTAAGAAAAATATTCAAGTCAAGAAAACTAAAAGCTTAGTTCTTGGAAGAGATTGGTAAAATTAATAAATTCTATCCAGGTTGCTCAGGAAAAAGAAAAGATAAAAATTAGCAATTTGGGTAATGAAACAGGTGATGCTTCTACAGACCCCAGCATACATCGAAAAACTAAGGAAGAACTATGAAAGTTTACACCAATAAATTTAATAACATGTAAAATAGACAAATTCCTTGAATAACATAAACTACCAAAACTCACTCAAGAAAAAATAGATAATAACTTGAATGCCTTTCATAAACCAAAGAAATTTCGTTTATATGTTGTTAAGAAAGCAACAACAAATGCAGTCAAGGATGTGGGGTAAGAGTCCTCATTGACTGTGGCCGGGATGTGAAGTAGCAGCCACGGTGGCATTCAGCCTGGAGAGTCCTCATTGACTGCGGCCGGGGTGTGAAGTAGCAGCCAAGGTGGCATTCAGCCTGGAGAGTCCTCATTGACTGCGGCCGGGGTGTGAAGTAGCAGCCACGGTGGCATTCAGCCTGGAGAGTCCTCAAACAGTTCAAACCAGAACTTCCATGTGATCCTCTCATAGCGCCTCTTGGTACACATTCACAAGAATCAAAGCCAGATTACTACAGAAATGCTTATATTTATTGTAGTACCATTCACATCACCAAATTACAGAACTAACCTAGATGCCCATAAGCAGATGGATGGGTAAAGAAAATGTGGTAAATATATACGATGGAGTTTTGTTCAGCCACAAAGAATGTCATTTGTAAGGAAATGAACGGATCCAGAGATAACCAATTTAAGTGAAAAAAATGGCAAATGTTTTTT